GCCAGATCTGGCCTCGCCGGCCACCCTCGCCGGCCACGTGAAGAAGATGAACAGTGACAGGGCAAAACCGGAAAATTGAAATTTGAGTGAGGGCAATTTGGGAAGGAAAAATAAGCTTCAGCATTCCAATGGCATTTCAAATGCTGGCTTTCGGCTTTCCGAGTCCGGAAAGCCGAACCAAACGGTTCAGCATTTTGGGAAGGGGCTTTCGAGGCCGAAAGCCCCTTCCCAAAGCTGAATCAAACGGGGCCTATATATGAAAGACTTGTCGGAGCATTACTGCATGAAAGACAAAACACAATGTCGTAGTACAACGAACTCTTTTCGGTACAGATCCAATGTCAAATACTAAAAATGCGATTAGATAAAATAGAAGATAACTAAAAAATATATATATGGAGAAGACGGGAGATTTGAATCTTGCGCCCTCCCTTCCTGCCGACACGTGGTTTCTGCTTGGAAGTGGGGGCAAACAACCAACGACAACTGACACGTGGTTTCTCTCGGGAAACCTTGACCCGGTGTCGTTAGAATCCATGGCGCCGTAACGATACCCCCTAATAATCACCACTCATGTAAAAATGCAGTCCATTTCTAGCGGGCAGGTTTTCTAACTCTTCGCTAAATTGTCCTTCATAAAATGATTATTCCACAATTAATGGCAAATAGTTATGACAAATGCGCGAGCACGCGAGGAAAAGCGATAATATTAGATACCCGAGAAAAGTTTGCTTAGAATCACAAATGCAAATTTATCTACAAATAGGTCATTTTTGATTCGGCACTTACTCAGTAATTTATGTTTCCATTTTTAAGAAAACATTTGAAATCTGGATTGAAGGTCGGTTTTTTTTTATAATGGAAATCAAAGGCCGGGTTATGGACCAAATTTATTGTGAGATTAAGTACAAGGCCCAAAATTTGATGTAGGCAATAATATAGGAACCATTTTTCACAATTTCTAGTGTTCGAAGCTTGAAAAATAAGTGGTAAAAAATATATATATTTTTTCCGATCAACAAAAAATACTCTTATGAAATTAGAGAAAATGATTTCCATTTCCGAAAATCATTTTCCCAACCTCTCGTCTGTCTCCTTCTCCCTCTCGTCCTCTTGTCTTCGAGAGAGCTTTTCCATCTTTCTCACTGAAGGGCTTCTTCCTCTCGTCTTCTTCTCCAGAGCCTCTCCATCGCTTCTTCGTCTCGTTCTGGTCTCCAGAGCTGCTCTTTCTCACGCAATTTAAGGCTTCTTCGTCTCGTCCCTCGTCTCCAGAGCTCCTCGTCTTACAGTACATGGATGTTCCAGCCAATACTACCCATGCAAAAATTATGCTGATCTACACGGTGCTCAAATTCGTCAAGATGAGTATGCAAGATATAGACCCAAGATTTCAACTTATGTTCACTGTCATTGCTGTAGCTCTCAAATGTGTCAAGTGCGGGCTGCTAATGTACGTTCTGTTTGGTGACATGCCTTGGCTGATTTTCGTCCTCTGCGTCCTGATGGCATTCGCATTCATTGCAAATTAGATAATGGTGATAGTTTCCGGGTCTTTACATGTTGTGGCCTGCTCTCTTTGAAGTTGTCCTTTGTTGTTTGCTTAGACATAAACCTTGTGTTGTACCGTTATTACTTTGAACAACTTTTACATCACGATGCTTTGATTTTATCACTATCGTTGTGCTTTTGAGATTGGTTTACCAAAATTACTTGGTCATTTCATGTTCATACAATACTTGGTAATGTAACTAGGTACTCGTGCCTATTGTATGGCTGCGTTTTCGGCCATTTGTGCATGTTATGTAATTTACTACGTCACACGATAATAACACGTGAACTAAGAGAGTTGCTTTTTTCCCCTACTATGAAAAGAGTACACGCATGCATGTGGAAAAAAAAATTAAATTTATGGAAGTCAAGTATAAAAATAAATCTTAATATAGGACAAAAAATCAAATGATTGCAAGATTTATAGTGAACGTTAAAAAGATATTTAGAGGATTATACATAAACTATTTTTAAACGACAATTTTCTCTATTTTGTTCACAATGATATATTTAAGAAAAATGCAAGCAATTCTTAAAGCTTTTCTATAAAAGTTTGAGGTTGAAATCCTCATTGGATTTGTTTTCTATACAGTAGAGATTAACCGGCACTCACTCTAGGACAAATTGATTAAATTCCTTTTTCTAGGATGGTCCATAAACACATTATCTCTAGTACGGGCCTAATTGTTCTCAATGATCCCATGCAGCAGGGATTTTGGGCCTGGACCGGCCCACCCCATCGAGGATCGGATCTGTTTCAGGTCATAGAGTAAACGCGAGCGTTGAGGACTGCAACATCCGTTTGATCTGAAGTTCCCCGTCGCTTTATTATGAACCTGTTGGCTTTATGGGTCAAATTGGGGCGTTGCAATATCCATCTGACAGATTGCACGCTGCTTTTACATGATGAGAATATGGAGAAGCTCATCTCAATGGGCACATACGACACGACGATGCTTATCACAGCATTTTGTAGTCCATTTTCTCAATGAAACACGTCAGTTTCAAGGCTTCATTTCTGCTCTTTTTTTTTTAATAGAATTGGAGCGAGATTATTTTTAGGGGGACAAAGGAATCCTCTTAACCCTTCCATCTATGCCCACAAGTTTGCAATCTAAACCTTCAAATACACCATTTCCAAAATAATGAATTCAGAGCACCATACACACAACTGAAAGGCCTTTACCATTGAAGCGCTGCAGAGTCCATTGAACTTTTGACACATTGATGTCTGGTAATTGCACACTTAAATAATTAATGTTTGTAATAGGTGTCCTAAGGACATAACAGACCGCATGCACATATTATTTTGTTAGTGGCTTACAACTATAAACTGTCAAATTATTCCACTAAGATGAGCAATGACACCGTACCTTCAAAAGAAGGTTGGCATTGAATCTGTGCACTAGATACTGTCAATATATCAATGAGGTCTGGCTTGAAGGTAATCAATTGATAGACAGATTTTGACGAATTGAGTGCGTGAAAGGAAAGCCGGAGGTTTTATAAGAATATCAGAATCTTAATATGATATCTACAAGTAAGAAGGTGAAATTTGTACACAACAAATCAGCAAAAATGGTGCCAAGTGCCAAACATGACCTTAGAACTTGGAACTTTCTATTGTTATTTGGTAATTAAATGCAACGAAGCAAAAGTCAGTCATGAAAAGTATGGTTATGTAAGAGTTATGCAAGCGAATGTAATCGCGCTTTCACTCGTTGAGTGCTGCAAAACTCCATACAACACCATCAAAATAACTAGACAAACCAGGAAAGCACTATCAAGACTGAATGACAGCACCCATAGAAGGCTATCCATAGGTTTTTTACTATGGCTTAACCATTCGGCATTTTACACGATAGCACTGATAGATCTGCTGGCTATAGCTGTGTATTACCTTAGGCTTAGGATGTGATGACTTTGAATCACCCCATCAAGTATCAGCAGTATTGGATTCTTTCAATGACTTCAGATTTATGCACGTCAAGTTGTAATCATCATCGACAGGGCTGATCACAACCTTGGTTAACAAATTTCTGCCTCCAATCCACCACCAAAAGCTTCATGACTCGGCAATCGATTGAAGGAGACTTAAAATTTCTCAATCGGACACTATATCGAGTGAAACGACCCAATACCTACTAACACAACATAGCATCTAAACTAAACATCACTCGTCAGGGTAAAAATAAGCAACCACTTAGCTTTTCACTCGATGGATGAAGCTGAGGACTAATTGACATGGATTTCAGTGGCGACCGCAAACTTTTTCACTGGAGTTGTGGGTGAGAGAGTCAGAGGAGGAGAAGAAATGTGGAAGAAATTGATTCACCTGGGAAGGAGAAGCTGGAATAGCGAAGTCGTTTCTGACGCGTGAGAGCAAAGTGATCGAGCGAGCAAAGGTCTCCGCTGAGGGTGAACACCATTTATTCTATTTTGCATTGGCACTTACATCGCTCTGTGACGGCAGAGATGTTGCATCTGAAACCAAGAAATTAGTACCAAAAAGTAAAGTCAAAAGACATATTACCATCAAGTTTTGCACTGATATTTTTAGCCGGCATACTTTACTAGCATCTTGCATCAAACTTGATAAATAAACCATTTATCATCTGAACTTAAACATCCTTAAGCTATTATTATCTAGACTTAATTCGAAGGCGCACTATGTTTTATCAACCAAATTTTCAATGACAGTCTCTCGTTTTTTTATATTTAGCCCAAAAGTAACATTGCCATGGGCCTTTAAAATTGTGATTGTGAAGCTATGCATTAGCATCTTTCAGGTATCTGAGCAGATAACTAGCAATCTGTCATCTAATAAAACCAGTTATGCACTGATTGCGTGAAAGCTACTTGTTGCATCTGAGCTACTCGCATAAACAAAATTGAAGTGAAGCATGGAAAAAAATGGATAGAAGGTAAGATACAAAAGAGCAATTAGAATTTACTTACTTGCCGACCTTCTCAAAGTACAAATGAATGTCCACTTCACATCCCTCACAGAATGCAAGAAGTGCCTGGATTTCCATGAGATGGACAAAGGTTAAATATTATCATGTTCACCGGAAAACACAAGGAAATACTTTGACATAAAAGATGGTCCTGAATGTGACTCCAATAGCATTTCAGCAACTAGGTGGACTCATTTTAAGGAAATGGAGATAAATTTGAAAGTGAAGTCATATGTTCAAGAACTTTTAGCTGAATTTATGACCCAAATGTCTTGATAGTTAATATAATAAAAAACGAATCAGATGGAACACCTTCAACTCTTTGACAGCAAAAGTCACGTCTACTGGGTTGCCGTTATGAGCATACTGCACAAGCTCTTCCGCAGGATCTATCCACAGCTGAGTGTGCAGCAAAGAGTCGTTCTCTGCAACCAGAATCTGAACCATGATATTCTTCTCCGTATTCGATTGAAAAGAATAAAGTTAATCTCTACCTTAGGTAGGATCAATGTAGCTTCGAAACTCAACAGCTTTCCCACCAAATTCACTTGCAGCATCAGAAGGGTCGGAGTTGTGTTCCGTTGCAATGATAGTAATTTCCTGAAGGGATGACTGAAAATTTGCAAGCAATCTGTTCAGATCACGAGGCCTCACTAAAAAATTGCTCGGGTATCTTCTCCTATCCAGAGATAATTGTTGTATGTCGGGGTCAACATTGCAAGTAATCCAGTATGCTTTCTTAATACCTGCATGCATATGACAACATCACATATGCATGAACAAAAGCTCACAGTTGGCGCAGTGAGATTAACATGTATCTCTGAATGGTGCAGCTTCTTATCAAATTAATGCAGGTTTGACAGGTGCCAGCCTTCGATTTATATTGCAGTTAGATAACATACTGAATAGTATGTAGTTAGCATGACTGAGTCAAAGACTTAAAATGGTAAATGGCTAACAAAAGAAAAAGTAAAAGTGGTAGACATTGGAATCTAATTTTTAACAAAAACTTCCCCGTCTCTTTATTCTGAATTCGTTAGCTTTATTGGTCATATTGGGGCACTGCAAAATTCGTCTGATGGAGTTCGTGCTGCTTTTACATGATGAGAAATTAGAAAAGCTCGTCTCCATGGACACATATGACCTGATGTATAAATGCTTCTCACAGCATCTTGCAGTCATTTTCTCTCACTGAACATGTCAGTTTCAAGACTTCATTTCTGCTGTTTTTAATAGAATTGGGGCGAGATTATTTTTAGGGGGAAAAAGGAATCCAATGGCTTTTCCATCCGTGCCACAAGCTTATAATCTTAACCATCAAATACACCATTTCCAACATAATGAATTCAGAGCACCACACACGCAACTGAAAGGTCTTTACCATCGAAGCACTGCAGAGCCCATTGAACTTTTGATGTATTGATGTCCGGTAATTGCACCCTCAAATAATCAATGTTTGTAATTGGTGTTCTAAGGACAGAACAGACAGCCTGCATAGAGTACTTCATAAGTGTTTGTAAGTTGCTTACAACTATAAACTGGCAAATATACTACAAAGATGAGCAGCGACAATATACCTTCAGAAGAACGCTGCACTGAACCTGTTCGCCAGATACTGTAAACACATCAAAGAGATCTGGCTTGAAGGTAATCAATTGATAGGCAGATCTTGACGAATTGAGTGCGTCAAAGGAAAGCTGGAGGTCGAATACAAGTATGAGAATCTTGATCTGATATATATACAAGTAAGAAGGTGATATCTGTACACAGATCAATACTATGTCTATTCTGATTTCAAACCAAATGATGCCAAGTGCCAAACATGAGCTTACTTCTTGGAACTTATAGTGTTGTTTGGTAGTTAAGGGTGCGCATGGAATGCATTCCGGAATAAAAATTCTGTTCCGGAATGCATTCCGGAACAGAATGGCGTTTGTTAAAAAATTTCCGGAATGCCTTCCGGAGCGATTTTTGCATTCTGGAATAAAAATGAGGCAAAAGGAAGTCATGCAAAGTATGGTCATGAAAGAGATATGCTAGGGAGCGCAATCATGCTTTCACTTATCAAGCGTTGCAAAACTCCATATAATACCATCAAAGTAACTAGACAAACCAGCAAGACAGAATAGCAGCAACCATAGAAGGTTATCCATAGGGTTTTTCTCCTATGGTTTCACCATTCGACATCTTCTGTGAGTACCACTGATAGTTCTCCTGGCTGTAGCTGCGAATTGCCCTAGTCTCACGATATAATGACTTTGAAACACCCTATCGACAGTATTAGCCTCTTTTAGTCGCTTCAGATTTTTATGCACGTCAAGTTCTGATCATCGTCGATAGGGCCAATCACGACCTAGGTCAACAAATTTCTGCCTCAAATCCACCGCCAAAAGCTCCACGCGCTCGGCAATCGGTGGAAAGGACTCTCGAATTCGTCGATCGGACACTGAATCGAGCGCAACGAGCCAAATACCTAACAACAGCATAGCATAGCATCTAAACTAAGCATCACTCGTCAGGGCACACGAAGAAGCAATTGCCTAGCTTTTTCACTCGATGGATGAAGCTGAGGAACGATCGGCACGGATTTCAGTGGCGACGCGTGAACTTTTCGACCGGAGCTGCGGGGGAGAGAGACGGAGACGCAGAAGAAGAAGAAGAAGAAATCGAATGAATGACCTGGGAAGGAGAAGCTTGAATAGCGAGGTCGTTGCCGATGCGGGAGAGGCAAGCGATGGAGCGAGCCAAGGTCCTCAAGGCGTTGCCGCTCAGGGTGAACTCCCATCTCTGAGCTCTCCCTTCGCTTCCCTCTCCGCACCGACGACGCTGCAGATTTTTATGAGGTGGTCGCTGAAAAATTGGCGGGATTGGAAGAGGGAGACGCCTGTTTTTTTTTTTTTTTTTTTAAATTTTGTCGCTTACGCCTGGTCATTTGGATCGGGGAATTAATGATATAACACGTTAATTATCATTTGTTTTTTGCCCTAAAGAATAAAGATACGATTATATTACCGATGTTTACCCAAGTCAGCATGTTAGTTTTTGAGATTTATCATTTGACAGCGTGAAATTTTAACAAGAAAAGGACATCAGAAGCGCTACTCACAGAAAAGGGGAGACTACTTGCTTATCATGTAAGCCCGGTGCTTAGGTATCAGGAAAACATTAGTCGTCTAAATTTTCCTTCATAAAATGGTTATTCCTTAGTAAATTGGCTATAATTAAGACCAATGTGCTAAAATGCGCAAGCAGAAGCGACATTTTTAGTTACGTAAAAAAAGCCGGCTAGAATCATATTTGCAAATTTATCTACAGGGGATCGTCTTTGATAACTTCTATCACTTATGTGAACTTGCATATTGATGTGGCATTTACTCTCCAAATTGTGTTTGCATTTGGAAGAATAAATTTAAAACCGGGATTGGAAGTCGGGTTAAGGACTAAATCTATAGTAAAATAAAGTACGTACCACAACCAAAATTAAACATTGACAATAATACATGGACCATTTTGTAATTTCTTTTGAGTAATTATTTTTTCATTCAATCTTAGCGCCCTTTGTATACCACCGATGCTTAGTTAGCATATTCCGTCCATATTTGAACACCTACATTAATATTTCCTGATAATTGGAGATTAAATTATGGACTCAATTTGTCACGAGATAAAGAATGCTGATCAAAATTGAATAGTGGCAATAGTATAGAAATCATATTTCGTAATTTTTCCCAGATATATTTTCCGATACTTTTATGTTTTCTCTTCTCAAAGATCGTTATTAATTTTTTATTGGATGTAAAACATTAGTCTATTAATTAGTGGTAAACTCGCAAGTCATGCGACTAGTTTTCTATATCAATTCTAAAGGAAATCTAAGGAAAGCCTCATCCTCTTCTCATTGGTGGGCAAGAAAGGAGAGCCACATTCGGGAGTTTAAAGGAGAACAACGATCCAGCTGATCAAGGTGGCCGGAGGTAAGTTCGAGCTCCCAACTACGAGCATAGCTCCACACTCAAATCTGAAGTCCACCTTGGAGCCGCAAGCGGAGGTCGGCCTAGATGGCGTCGACCTCGAGCGGGAGCTCGCCCCAGATCTTAAGGCGTGAACTCAATGTCGCGGCAGAGGGCGACGGAGCTTGCGCAGATCAACCTCTTTCCTCTGGTTCGATTTTTTTTGTTGGCTTTTTATTTTTTTTCCTTCTCAAAATTTTCTAATGTGGTGCTTATTAGTGCAATTTGTTCTCATAAAATTTTAATAATACCATGTCAGCTACCATGTCAGGTTTTTAAGGGCGATCTAGGATAAAATCGTGACGGAGAGTGTATGTGTCATACAATTTAAAGTTTTTTTTAGACAAAAAATTTCAGATGTAGATATCACCACAGTAGTCCAAATTTAAAGTTTTTTGTGATTTTTTTTTTCAGTATTCGTCATGAAAGGTGACCTGTGCACAGAACACCATACTTTTTTTGGGATTCCCATCGGTCACATGAGTCCAAACTTCAGGACGAAACTTTGGGTGTTATATGAGTCCAAACTCTTGGCCGAAGCTTTTGGGTCATGTGAGTCCAAACGCTTGGCCAAAGCTTTTCGATCTCTTGGTCATATGAATCAATGGCCAACGCTTCATTCAGCTCTTAAGAAAAACTATCCATATCGTGTTTGCCAAGCGATCGAAATCGTCCAACAGATATTAATCTTCGAGATGGAAAGGTCAGATAGCGATTGAAGGTTTGGACTTGTGTGCGCTCTCATCTCCTTTTCTTTTGGATGTGTCAAGTGCGTCCTGTTGATGCACAATCTACTTGGCGATATGCCTTAGTTGATTTTCATACCATGTGTTCGAACGTTGGTAATCCTATTCGTGTTCGCGAATTAAAGGATCAATTAGGGAACGGCCATAGTTTCCGACTTTCTTGATGTGGTGATGTCTTGGTGACCTTCCAATGCTGGCGATGTAGATCTCGTGTTATGTTATTATCTCGAACACCTTTTAACACTATTGTAAAGGTATTCCATGGTGCTTTTTTACGGGATATATCAGAGTCGGGTTCTAACCCAATTTATTCCGCGTGTGTGGTCCCCATTCGTCAAATTTCACTTTTTTATATATACATGCAATCTCCCTCTATGCATTATTCGAGAGAACAATGCTGTGAATCTGATCGGCACTATCAGTCAGTTCTGTCACGAGAGAATTGCTTAGATATTTAGTGGAAGGATTGAAGTAAATAGATCGGTGCTCATGGGTTAAATCTTTGATCATTTGTCCATTCATCAACTTCCTAATGGAACACGTCAAATCTTTAGTAAATTAATGTTTAATCTGAAAACTGCCACTTCTAGTTCCCGGGGACTCCCAATCGGTGGCCATAGCGTACATAAACTATTCTAAAGACGTCATTAGCGTACATAAACTATTCTAAAGACGTCATATGATGTAATTCAATTAGACGAACAGTGTTATAGAAGTATATCTAAGAGTCTAGATATACTCACACGAGCGCATCAAGAAGTCCAAGTTTATATATTCAAGAAGAAATTCAATGCGCGGTATAATACGGTGCTTTTAGTGTAAATCATAGCTAACGAGTCTATGCATCGTTGCAGGAGCATAACCTATAAGCGCATTGCAGGCAAGGACAAAACTAGTCTGTTTTCACATTGAGCGCATCAATACGATATTAATTATCACGGTGACAATTGTGTGAAATTTATGCGTGATTCAATGCAAAACACGATATTAATTATCATGGGTCGAGATATTGCAAACAAAGTTTTGATGGGGTCCAGACAAGAAAAACAAACAACGTTGGTTTTGCAAAAGCTGCAGGTGCAGTTCTTCATGCACGTGATGGAGGCTTCTTTGAGATATTCAAAAGGACTCGACAGTGAAGGGAATTCTTTTTGCTCAGCTAAGCAATAAGTTTTGAAGGTATTAAAACTCACGGAGCGGGATTACCCTGGCCATGAATTTTACCTAACCTAATTTACCAAGTTAATATCATCAAAATTTTCCGATATAAACTACACTCGAAGGTGCTTCTATAGTCATTTCGACCAATTCTCAACTGTGGATACACGTAAATGACGCATTCATCGACCGTTGAAATATGTTGAGGTACTCGGGCTGTAAAAATATCTTGTGGGATAAATAATCCACGTCCAAAAAGAAAAGAAACATTAATGACTATTAGCAATAAATCTTACTTTTTGATGGATGTACACAATGACTGAAAATGTGAACCAAACCGTTTGTGTGTTCATTAACTTTGAATTGATCCACGCCCCGAATCGAATATAACCCGAACCGAAAACTTGGTTTGGTTTTTCGGTTTTCTTTTTTGAAATATTAAAAAGAGACTTAGTGGAAAATGAGAGAAATTATGTAAATTGTAATATAAAGAAGATGGGTGATTTTCAGTTCAATTCGGTTAACCGAACCAAATCGAAAACTATTCGAACCGGAAAAAAAAAGGCGGTTAATTTTTTCATTATCTGAACCGAAACTCCAACCGAATCGAATGCTGAACCGGAACACAATACCGATTATTTTTTCATTATCCAAACCGAAACCCGAACTGAACCGAAAATGTAAGAAAATTTGGTTTGGTTTGGATCGGATCAGTTTCGATTTTCTGGTTTGGTTCTGACGCTACTAATGAATACGCCCCCCCAAGTACATATGTCTGCTCTGAGAGTTTCTGTCGTTAGAAACCTCGTGTATAGAAATTCTGGATATTCTAACAAAAAGTTAAAAAAGAAAAGAAAAGTAGAGAACAGGTATTGGGTGAGCAAGTGGCCGCTCCCGAACCTCAGTATTCAGAGTCATGGCGGATGTAACTCGGGTTTGGAGGCCCCGCATTCGAGTATAACGGAAGAGCAGACAAAAAAACAACACCGACGAAGACGACATTACACCCAAACGGCCACGATGGGTCTCTTATTCAACCAAGAAAGGAAGAGACTTAGCGAGGCAAAGTGCGAAGGTATAACGGAGAACAATAATTCAGCTGATCACGATGGTCGGAGGTAGGTAACATTCATCGACCCTTAAATATATATATATAAAAAGCATTGTATCCCAGCTCCGTTTGGAGGATTGCGGGGCAACTCGTGCACTGTAGCCAGCTTCATGGACCTTAAATATTTTTTTTTCAATGTAATTTAAGTAAGATTTATAGAAGAGAAAAATAAAAAAAATGTCACGTCAGCATTTTTGTTAAGCAAATTGATGGAGTTTACGGAAGGACTTGATCGCAATTTTTTTGAAAGTTTTAAGACTCAATTGCACTTCTATGATAAGTTTTGGGATTTCCGATGCATTGGTCCCTTTCATAAGATATCCAATTACACGATTTTTAGTAATACTTATCGTAGTTTGCAAGCTTTCTAAATTTAGAAATAAAATAAAATAAACGTCATTATACTCGTAATAAAATATTGAGTTTTACCTTATTAAATATATTTTCGTTAATCAGTTAATGGTGTATATATAAATTATCAATTTTAGGTCGAAGAGAGGATTATGTCATGTAATATTTTCGCAAGTGAACATATTACTCTTTTTGATATTACTTCTATAAAAACTCATCGGAAAATTGTCTATGCATAGTGTCTGCTTTTTGTACCTGGGTTATATTTGGTCCTTTTTCATCGAACGTTGAAATTGAGACTTTTGGTGGAGGCGACCTGCTAGCTGGTCTTCCCACTATTTTCTGAAAGGACCAAAAACATCCGCGGTTCGAGAGGCGCTCTTGATTCCATCTTTAGATCTTTGCATCCTCCAGTGCTGCGCCACGTCAGCTGGTGCCCCTCGTTTTGTTTTGTCAGCATTGAGACTTTTTCGTTTGGCGGGTACAGTGCTTGCGGCCCCCTTAAAATGGGCCTTCCCATATTCCCACCAAAAAAAAAAAAAATCTTCCCTTCTTCTATTTTTTTTTTGTTTTTTTAGGTCAAACATCTTGCCTTCTTTTTTTTTTGGGCATCTTCTCTTCTTTTTTTTTTTTGATCGAAATCTTCCCTCCTTTGAAGTGGCTTTACTTTGGACCAAAAAAAAAAAAAGTGGCCTTACTCTCCCCCAAAACTCGACTGCAGCCTCTACTTCCTGAAGCACTCATCTCAGGTGAATCACTTCTTTCCACATTTCTTTTTCTTCTTCTTCTCCGTCTCTCCAGGAGGCAACGTCGGAAGGTTAATGGATAACAACAATCCAGCTGATCTCGGTGGTCGGAGGTAAGCTTCAGCGACCTCAAACATGCCATAAACTCCTCCTGTAAGTTGGAGGATTGTTCTGACCAAAAAAAAAAGTTGGAGGATTGCGACTAAAATCATGCCAAAATCTGGATTTCCTTTCCTGTTCCTATATCTGATCATGCCCACTGTGTATATTCCACTACGTGAATGCTGTTTTGTTGGGAAAAAACCTGCAGCCTATGTAGATCAGGTGAGCTTGTTGATCAGTGATCTTGTATGTTCAACACTTAGGAGCTCGATTCCAGGTGTAGCACTTAGAAACCAAGACTGAGGTAAAAGCTACCGGGGTCTCAAGTAGAAGCTAGAAACCGAGACTTGGGTACATTCCCGGACTGAAACTCTGGTTCATGCTCGGTACAAGACCGATCACCGAGCTTGTATCTGAGTCTCGGGTAGCTTGAGACTCGGTTTCTACTTGAGTCTTCTACCGAATGCCAGAGACTTGGTTTCTAGGTTCTACCCAAGACTGAGCTTCTACCCAGTAAGCATGGGCTTTACCTGGTTGTTTACACACTCTGTTTTTGAGAAGAAAAATTCTGTCACATTGATGAAGAGACACGACTGTAAATACACTCTGTTTCTTTCTCTTGTCAACAGAAACTCATATTAAGAACAACATAATAACAAAAAATCTTATTCGCTTTTCCTCCTAAGAAAAGTTAAGACCGGCAATTAGCTTTACTCTGTTTCTACCCAGTAAAGCATGTGGGCTTACCTGGCAGTTTTGTGTCTCTGGGTGGTCTTGTTTTGTGAATAAGTGTCCTAAGAAAAGGTTAGGAAAGGTTTGTAGGTGTTAAGGGCGTATCTCCTAGTTTTCTGATGTTACATTTTGTCCAAAAGAAGAGTTTTTTTCATTAGCTTAGTTAGCTGTGCTTCAATAGATGGGTTACACTCCCGCAGTGCATACACAGGTTAGACTCCTGCAATGCATAGACTCGTTAGCTATGATTTGCGCCAGAAGCTTGGTGTCATACCGCGCAGTAGTTTCTTTTTAACTTAAATTGGTAGTTCTGAAAGCTT